AGAGAGAGAGTGACCAAGCGAAAAGCAAATGTTAAAGCACTAATCATAAACAAATTTATTCATAGCAAAAAAAAACAACAACAACATAATAATGATAATAACAATCTAGTTGGGAGTATTTAATAGCTTAGACTCATTAAACTTCAATTGTTGACATAAACACTTGCTGATTTTAAGAAATGAAAAAAGTCTGTTGGTCAATGAAAACCGAATAGCAAAGTGAAGCACTAGAATTTTCAGGGATCAAAAGAGAGGGGAGAACAACTTACGTACTACACTGAGCTACTTACGCTGTTTGACGAGTAAAATTTGATCTTCGCGTTGGCGCCATTACTCTTCGACGTTATCATCATTTTTATATAAGATAAACTTCTACGACCTTTCCTATATTTCTTTAGGCTTTTTGTGATCATGTTTATCAATAATTTATGATAGACATAATATAATGGTACCTTTGGGCTAAAAAGTAAAAATCCATTTAATTTAGTACAGCAACTACTCTGATCAATTCAAATCATAATGATCTGCACTATGTAAAAACTACAAAGATAAAATTGATTAACACTGAAAGTCGTGTTTTTTTTTTGATAATTATTAAATTTATAGGGAGATGAAATATTGGAATGATGACCGCTCACAACAAAGTTAGCGTCATACAGAGCAACAGCATACAGAGAGAAACACAGGCATCCGCAGCGCTGTTCGATTCCCGTAGTTTAATGAATTGCAATTTATTTTCGGTCTAATCTTTATTAATAATCACATAGTCTTTTCATAGATCACTGCGATTTTGGTCATGTTATTTTGGTTGACCGATAAGGATGAAAACTCAAACTTTATCATCAATGCCCCCCGCCTACGCAACGCCTGGTTTACTTTATTTCATCTTCATCTAAATGTTTACATGTGTGTAGTAGATGATGAGGTTGTAAGGTTGTAGTTGTTGCTGTTGCTGTTATTGTCCGCGAGCGCGGTATAAATCAAGGAATTGTCTTTGCTCCTCTTTGCTCTCAAACCAAATTTTTCGGATTCAAGTTCGAGAAGATCGGATGTTATATATTTGTACTAAAAAAAAGAGGAAAAAAGAAAGAGTGTGTTTTGATTAAATATACAATCAACTCTTAGTAGCAGGAAGGATGTCGGGTAGGGTTATTTTTTCGAACTATAAAGTTGAGAGCTAAATTACTTGTCATTACTGAGCGTTAGTTCATCAGTTATGGAAMTGATAATTATGTTCATTTTTGATCACGATTTTCGGTTTCGTTATTCTTCGCAAACTTTCGTAGCTTTCCTTGATAGTTGGGCTTCCTTTGTAATTACGTCACAAAGTCTTACCACCCCTTCCTCAGGACAATTGATCTATACCACCCCTCCCTTGCTATTCTCTCCTTGTTGTCCCGTTAGTTCTCGTCTCAGAACCCATGCAGGTATGTTAGTCGTTGTACGCAGAATCATCTTAATATAAAACCAGGCAAGATTTGGCTATTTGAACGCTCGCTCCGATTCAAGGTTAATGCCAACATGTTGGAAAGGTTGCAAGTAGACTGGGGCGAACGCGTGGCCAACCATATATTCTCTTACAAACATTCGCAAGCAAGTTCTTTACATTGCCATTAAAATAATTTTGCTTTCCAGCTCAGAAGTTTATATATTGTCTTTAATGATTAGAGTCTAGATAATAACCTGAGGGACATAAGGATAAGAGTAATTTTAGCGCACTTTAATGTTTCCGTGGATTTGTTTAGAATATGAATATGAATATGAAATATGAATATGTAAAGAATTTGTTTACGAATTTTTGTAAGAGAATATGGTTGGCCGAGCGCTCACCCCATTAGACCTTGGATCGGTCTATTACACAGTATGCTGTACTACTTACCTTTTTCTTACTGTTTCACAGCCTTCACGATCACATTGAATTTTGATGTATTTTAAGCGATAAATGTTAAAGAAAAACACTGGTTACGTAATCAAAAGGATCAGCGCATRCTCCATAGACTTAACACGTCATTCATTACCACATGGATCACAATTTTTTGCGGTTTTTGATGCAATCAAACAAAATACTAAAAAACCCTCAACGTTTTGTGCAAAAGAGACTTTATATATGACTCACATAAAGATATCTTTTAAAGCCAACAGTACCCTTTATTTAATGTATTTATTAAGTGCCAGGCAAATTTTCTAAATATAAAGCGGCTTTAAACTGTAAATGATTGCGTATTTTTTAAAAKGTATAGCTGTCTAAAATGATCAAAACTCGATATTAGAAATAAACTGCCAGCTTCAATAWTTCGTGATTTTGGTTCATTAAGCTTACATGCGACCACATGCTCATATCTCTGCACTTAACACRTGCATATTTCCAGTCCTGTTTCTAACATGTTCTAAGCTTTGATTTTAGTCACGATATAGCCGATATAATAATATAAGGAGCCAGTATCAATAATGCAGATATGTCTGATTTTATGCATACATGTCTGTTCAACAGGTTCTATGTTTCTTTGGTGTTAGAGGCAAGTTTCCTCTAACATATAAAAAGGCGTTTACCCTTCCAGTATAGAACCGATATTTTACCTCAATGGTGGCTCTGTAGATATTTCTGTTAGCAGCTGGTACTGCGGTGATTATGCGGCTGGACTAATATAGTTTTTCGCTTTTGTGTCCTTTACATATTCTATTAGGCATTAAATTATTCGAAAAACAAGGGGAAAATGGCGCAATACACGTACTTTCAAAAAGCAAATTTATTCATAGTTAATAGGTACTTAAGGATCTTAGGAAAAGATAAGAAGTAATAGAATTAATAGATATATCCTCTTAATTCGCGTGTTGTTGTTTAGAAAGTCCTTAGGCATTAGAAGCCTCTCGGGGTAAAAGGTTAGATTGTTAAATGATATGTTTTCATAATTTCATTTGTCTATTTGAGATATCAATCAAATCACTAATACAACTGTTTAATATTTATGCTTTTTCAAGACCCTACTTCGAGGT